AACGAAATAATACTATTGAATTTTTTATATAAAAACGTGAAAGTATTTTCTGTCCCGTAAATTTTATTATTCCCTTAAGATCGGTTGTAAAATTACAAATGAAATTATGAACAAACAGTCAAATTGAATAATTTTGTTTGGAAACATAGCTCTTTGTGACAAATTTTAATTAATCTATATAACATAATAGTAAGAAAATTGACTTGTTTTGATCATGCACTCTGAAATTTGAGCTCTACAGAAAAATTATTCGAGGAAAACTTCACGTTTTCTTAAAAACTTAATTCTTACTGCATGAATTTTATAGTATATCATGGGATGGGAAAAAAATCTTATATTCAATAGTTGAAACTTTGCGTATGAATTCCTTTTTAAGAGTAAAATAAATGTTTTTATAGTGGAATAATTTTTTTTTCATCAAACGCATGTTAATTATTTAGATGCAAAACCAGTCTTCATTACTCTTCCCTTTTTCTGCAGCGAGCGGAATACATACTCAAAGTTAAGCACCTCTATTGTGCGTCGAAAGTTTGTGTACCTGAATGTGCACGGCAGGGCACCCAAATTAGCGCGTGTCGCTCTAATTTGGAGGGTGTGCGGGGGTGGCGCGGGATCGGCGAGATAAAATTTCAATGGCCAACGAGAGGTTTGTGCGGCGTCTCTTTATTTGGGCGTATCGATTTGCGGCCACATGTCAGCAATTTCCAAGTGTGTGCCGCCCGCGCGCCGAATCTGCTTAATCAGCGACTTATTTTCTAAAGGCTAGAGCTCTGCATAAGCTCTCCTTTCTCTCATTCATTGCCGAGAGCGAGGTGGGCTTTTTTCTATTGCCTCTTGAATGTGCGCGGCAACTGTTAAGACGATAAGATTTTTGCTCACGACACCCACGCAACCGACAATATAATCACGCTCAATGACGGTTCACATCGCCATAAATTACTGAACAATTAAAAAAATTGAATTTTTATATATTTAAAAAAAACGATTCCTGCAGCTCATATGAAAATTTGGAACAGAAAAAAATAGTTTGACTGAATTTGGCATAACTCTCAAGTACATTTGCTTTATTAATTTATGATGCAATGTTTAAAACGGCGTCATTACTTAAGCTTCGCTCCGTTATTTTCATTAATATTATTCTTTAAGTTTGAGGTACAGAATTCAAGATTATTTAATGTAATCCTACATGTTCCTTATTGGCATTAAACCTAACTGATTGATTACTGTTGATTCTAAATTACAAAAGAATCTGACAATGCACAATCTTTCAACCCACAATCTATTTTCAAAAGAGAAATAAATGATTTTTTGTTCAGTTCGTGAAAAGAATGAATTTCTGGAGCTATCAATGATAGTGTTGAAATCTCGATTTTATAATTGTTATTATTATATCTACCAAAATATTTAGAGTAACATAATTATCTTTATTTAAATGTGTTTTAATTAAGAATCAAAACAAAACAAAACTCGTAGAGGATAATGAAGGAATATTTATATGAAATCGCAGTTTTACTTTAACATTAAAAAAATTATTTGTAACTTATTATTTCAAAAAATCGCTTGATCAACAACAAGTTTCTACAAAATATGAATTTAAATTTTATATTATAATATCTTCTTTTCTTACTAATAAAATTTAATTTAAAATGTTTTTAATGCTTTAATTAATGTATTTAAATTTATTATTAATTTCTACTTAATCTTTTTATTATTATATTTATTCTTTTTTACTTTCTAATTGTATCAAATTAACATTTAATCGATTGTTTGCAACTTTTTTTTGAACTGGGTTAATTAGGTTGTTTTATTACAAAATGAATACAATTCCAATTGAATGGTTTGCAGAAGATATTGGAATAACATAGTTTGACAATTTGCTCTCACAACTCGTACTCCTTGTTCAAACTGCAAAAAGTGTCAATTCCAGAGATTTTAAATGTCACAGCGGCCGCTCGCTGCTCATGCATAGGTGATGAGTTACTGAATTATTAATTATACGGCGAGAGTGGGTGTGTGTGTGTGCGCGCTAATTAATTTAATGCGTCGCTTAATTTGCCAGCGAAACTCTATATTACGGTTTGGGAGGCGATGTTTGGCAACACAAGTACGCAACACGCGCGACAGATGCTGTTTTATACACGTAGCATTTTGAAAGTAGTGCGTCATCGGCGAGAGAACCAACCCTATGTGCACACGTTGACGGGGATGGATGGCTTGATTGCAATCAAATGGAATGCTATTATTGTTGTGTGAGTTTGTGACGTGCTTTTGCGAACAGACACACACTGCACGGATGTCCAATTTAATTGGGTCATTGATGCGACTTGATTTTCCTACAGAAATGAAATTATTTTATAGAAGTACTCACAATTGAGAAATTTAAACCAAGGTTTGTTTAATTTGATTGTCGGTGCAATTCATTCATCAAATAGTTCAATATTAGGAAAAAAATACAATTTAAATTTAAGAAAAATATAGTGCGGAACGATAATTAAAATTTAAAATTTTACTTACAATTAAAATTTTGCTATCCATATTAGAGTTTGAATAGGGAATAGAAGGAAATTTCTTCTTATTGTTTGTTGATTTGCTAATATGTTTTTGTTCAAAAGTTTTATTGAAGGAAAGGGTCATTCTTGGGGTAAACTGTTGTGTCGTGAGGCAAACAAAAGAGCAATTAACTGAGAGATTTTACTGCGATATTAATAATAAAGTGAAAGCAGCAAGTAGGTCACCGCTACGATATTATTCCACTCTGGCAAATGCAGTTTTTTTTGCCTCGACAATTTTTACCCAGCGGTGGAAGTTTTTCAATTGGAAAGATTGCATCTGTGAGCAAAAACTGTTGGCGTATCGATTCCCGACAGACGGACAGACAGTCTCATCGAAAATAAGTAGGCAGCCGGTGCGGTTTGTTTGCGCTACTGGTTGCATACTTTTGCACAAGGCAGGCTGTGAAAACACGCGGCGGCGTTCAAGGTTTTTACAACTAATAAATGGGCACGTGTGTGTCGAGCAATTGCAAACGAGCGTCGGTATTTATTTCTCTGTGTGTGGCCGATGGAGAAATTGCCATCCATTTCAAGGATGACGAACAGAAACGGCACCGTTCTATCCCCCCTTGTTACTTTTGCTCACAGAGGAAAAAGCAGCGAGCTCAGAGGAAATTGTTGGTTTTTATTGCCTTTCGGCAGAAAGTGACAAGCAAATTGCCGGCTCATTCCGCCTTGTTCTTGCCAATCTGGGTCACAGACACCACCACAATAAGAGCAGAAAAAGAGCGTTTTTTCCCGCCAGTCTCGGAGCGAGGCACGAATTTTTCACAACAAGTCGATAATAGCTGTCTGCGTGAATATTCGGCAAAAAGAAGATTCTTTCTTTGTCCACCCCGGTACATGGGAAAATGGCTTCCAATTTACTCCAGCCCGGCAGTAAAATCTTTTATGGCTCTACCGTACGATTCAATCGCAGCGAGTGTGTTCAGGGAAACTGGATTTCGGATTAATTCGCTCTGATGGATGATAATAGTTCGTGGAAAATTTGCTCACACAAACAAAGGTTTGGAAATGGGCAAAAATAGTTTTTATGGGACGTTGAAATCGGTGAAAGGAGCTTTTAATAAAATAAAGCCATTCAAAAGCTAGCAGTGTGTTTTTTAGACCAGCTGACGCTCCCTTTTAAAAAATCACCAACAAAATTTTCCTCCTTCAATAATAAACTTTTATGAACTTTGAACCGTTTGTGTTTAATGAGGTTTTGGTGTTTTCGTACCATTTGAAAGTTCTAGGCAATTTGGTGCAATATATATTCTGCAAAAGATTAGAAGGGCAAGAAGCGGCAAGAAGTAGTAAACTTATTAGTTCTTATAAGAATCACAAGAATTAACTTTAAAATGAGAGCAACAAGCCAGGAAATATGCTCTTTTAAAGTTGGATTTTGCATCCATTCCTAAAAATTTGCTATTGATTTCCAGAAAATTGAAAAGTTTAAAATTTACAATTTTTATCATTATTATTCATTTAGATTAGCTTTACAATGGAATGGAAGAGATTAGGCTTTTTCTCCTTAATTATACCTTTAAGATATTATTCTTTATCTGACAATTTAAAACTGACTCTTATTTTTAATGCTTATTTTCAAATATTTTATTAAAATTAAAAATTTAATTCCTTTACTTTAATATGCAAAAATATTTTACAATTATTATTATTTAAAAATAATTTAGAATTTACTGTGGCAATGGAATTGTAAAAGTATTCTGGGGACTGTTGATCTATTAATTCTAAATTATGAATAAATAAAAATTTTCACTTCCCTGTAACATAAAATCTGGTACCGCAAATTGATCATGTGAAAAATTAATTAATGATAAGGTGAACAAATTTTGAAATAAATAATGCCATAATAATTGAAAACAAATTAAATCTGGCAGTGAGAAAAAAATATTAAGAAAAGTTGAAACTTTCAACATTATGAATTTATGAAAGTGGCGATAAATTATGCAAATCAAATTAGCAGTTTGGTTTCGCAGTTTTCGCACTCTCTTGGCGGTCAAGCACCGTTGAAATTGTTGCGCTGCTGGCGCTCTGGCACATATTCGCTCCAGCGTGTGTTGTAAAATTAGCGCTCGAAGGGCACGCTCAATATTTCAGCAACACGTTCTCCGAGTGTTCGCAACATTATTTTGCGAAAATGTGGCGCCGCGATGACATTTGCCGTTAAAAGCGAATTCCAACGCACTTAGCCGCGCAACTGATGGAATTTTAATGTCGAGCGGAATTTACGACCTTGCCTCGGCAAACTCTAGATGTTCCGATCTATCTCTCTCTTTTTCTCATCCCGCGCTCGCCTTTTTTTACGATTGGCACGTGTGCGGCGAGAGCGAAACTGACTGAGTGAATGCGAGTGTGATTGGAATGTCGGGTTGACCTGATTCGAATTGTGTGTGTGTCGTTTTTGTCGGACGGTTTGGCTGATTCGGATATTTTTTTCTGTTGCAGTCTGGCCGTCAAGTCCAGCGATGAGCTCAACACAAAAAATAAAGAGGCCAACTACTTGGACTCGCTAACCTGTGATGGAGAACCTCCGTAAGTACCAAATTACGCCCCTAAAAAATTGAAACAATTTTATTTAATCATTTTGCAGAAAGATTAATATTTTAATAAAAAAAAAAATTGTTTCAAAATATCTCAATTGAATAATTTTAAATTTATTTTCCCTCAAATTTGATTGCAAATAAATTATTTTAATTCATAAAACTCTGGATAAAACATGCTGGTTTTTTTTTTTTGGAAGGGGGGGGGGGTTCATATCTACTCGTTTTGTAATAGCATTTGAATCTGCATTAATTGAACATGATTTAGCGAAACAGAAATCATAATTCAAAATTTATTAAAAATCAAAGATTTAAAATTTTCTTGCGATAATTAAGCATCAAAGGAAATTAGGGTGTAAAAACGTGACTGAAATGTAAATGAAAAAATTAAGTGATTCTGAATTCATTCTTTTATCCATTCCTTTTCTCAAGTTGTCTGTCTTCTATATTTACTCTTTATTTTAGCATTAACTATTGTCATTCATTCATTTTTTTCTAAATGAACGAAATTCTTCCAAAGGATCTGAATTCTCTCTTCTTTATTTTTTAACCCCAGCACCAATTAACAAAATTCACACTTTCCGCGCGAGTGAGCTTTCTGAATCAAAGCTCAATTAGCAAAATTACGGCGTGTTTTCAAGCGCGAAACTCTGTTGCAGGCCTACCCTCGAGGATATCAGAAGCTGGGGCCATTCTTTCGACAAGCTTATGAAAAGTGCAGGTACAAATATATATATACATTTATAACTTCCCCTAGAAGTAAAATAATAATATACAATCGGCCTAAACACGCGCCGAGGGAGATCAAACCGATCGATTATATCCAGGAATAGTTTTTCTTACTCACTCGTCTAGCTGTTTGTAATTTAAATGGGGGTTGAATATTTCATATATCCTGAGTATTAAATGATTTTATTCAAGAGGCAAAGCAATAATGTAGTCATAAATTTCCGCGTGTGAGTTTTTGGCTCACCTGTATATAATATATTGCAGTGTATAACTCACAGGCGTGGCGCGTGCAAGATGTAAAATATTTTCCTCCAGCGTATTGTTTAATTTAATGCATGCGTGGCGTGCTGGAAATTGTGTGTGTGCTCATGCCGGCCGGGTCACGATATTATAGAGAAAGGGCTGCAAACGGGAGAAGAAAACTTCTTCTTGTTTCTTTTCTCATTCAGTCCTTCCCTCTTGGACAAAAAAAACATACAAAATTGGACTTACGAATTCAATATAAACGCCAAGCTTTATCCCAAGTGGGGAATTTTTTCGCATTATTTTTTTTTATGTTGCTAATTGTGGAATTCTTTTTGCAGCTGGTCGCAAGGTGTTCCGTGACTTTTTGAAGTGTGAATACAGTGAGGAGAACATTTTGTTCTGGCTGGCTTGTGAGGAACTGAAGAAGGAATCCAATCCGGAAGTTGTTGAAGAGAAGGCCAGATTTATTTACGAAGATTACATCTCAATACTCTCTCCAAAAGAGGTAATTTGATCTATTTTCAACCTTGCTTGTTTTTAGGGAAAAGTGCTTGAAACGTTTCAGATTATTCCTTGAATTTTGATTGAAAAATAAATAGAATTAATATTGTTCTTTCTCATAAATAAATAAAATTGAAAAATGGACAAGCAAGAATCAATATGTCTATAAGTGTATAAGTAATATTAATTTCAAGAGGCATCAATATAAGTATGATAAATTGAATTTTTAAAAACATAACAAATTAATTTTTTTGCTTGATGTGATTTGTCAAGTATTCCTATGCATTTTTAAGTTATTAAATTTTTTTAAACAAATTTAAAATTAATAATGTTTATCATTTCGTAACAAATTTATTAACTTTTATATTTAAAATAATAAAAAAATTAACATTTTATTTCAATTATTTTTTTAATTTTAAATTATTGACTTTTGCTAATTTTTATCTTGTTATGAATTAACTGTTTATTAAATAAATAAATATTTTTTTATTTAAAAATTTGATAAAAAAAATATATAATATTCTCAATTTAATATATTAATAATGCATTTTATCAAAAGTATAAATTATTTATGTTGGCGTTGGTGTTGTCTGAATGACGTCTGGTGTTTTAAATTACATTGTAAATTGATAATTTATTGCTTAAGAAAATCTATCACTCATAAAAAAAAAATCGAAAAAAATCACTCCTAAAATGACTTGCAATTTAATTTATAACCAAATTGTGTTTATTGTGTTGCAGGTTAGTTTAGATTCTAGAGTGAGAGAAGTAGTGAACAAGAACATGGTGGACCCGACACCTCACACGTTCGACGAGGCTCAGCTTCAGATCTACACGCTCATGCATAGAGACTCGTACCCACGATTTATTAATTCGCACATATTCAAAAGATTAGCTCAGCTCAACAACAACTCAACAATAACGTGCAGTGGACCAGGAGGTGCGGGGGGCAGCAATTCGCCGCCCCCGGGGGGCAGCAGCTCTTCGCGGAAGGAGAGCTTCGCGTAATGTGCCCCTCGCCGGCTGGCGCACAGTGGATTTTTTTTCGCAAAAAAAGAGACGCTGCGAGTGCCGCGAAAAAATCGCCCTCTGTGTACCAAACACCCCAAGCAACTTAATCTTCTAGTCTCGACGCCCATTGACAATTAATTAGCAAGACCAAATGAGAAAAACGAAAATGCTTCTTTGGACTGTTTGCGTTTTTGAAGAGGAAGAAAAACGTCACACATGGTGGGGTCGGATTCGTAGAAGCGATGGAGGCAAAAAAATCGAGACATGAAATTATATAAATCGTTACAAAAACCGCAAAAAGCATAAATAAGAGTAAAGTCATCGTGCAAACTAAACCGATGACTTTGTAAAAGCTTTAATTAAAAATAGTGTCTATAACCCAGAATAACAAACACACAACTGTATGTGTAGTGAAAAACGCGCGTGATGATTTCTCATGCAGTATATGACGTTGCGTAATTATCTGAATAATTAATATATTATTCTAGACAAAAAGAAAACACACACCTGATTGAATATCTCTCGTCAAAACTATAGTGCAACAAGTATAAAAGTTCTCTTTCTCAAGTAAAAACTACTGATGTATAACTCTGATAAGAATCCAATCAACATAATATTATTGTGTTTGCTGTTCTACTGCTGTAAAACGTAACAAAGAGGTATATCTGGTCCTTATGAATATAAACGCCACTAGTCTCATCACACACACACAATTAAGTCATAACAGAAATATGTTTATGTAGCGCAATCGAGATGATTTTCCAATTATTTCACAACAATTAACTCCTGCAAGTGGATACAGAAGCGTTATTATTATACTCATCCAGCAGGAGAAAATCAAAGTGAGAGCAAATCTCATAATATTACGTCTCTCACACGTTAGAAATGTTAAACGTTGTTTAAGTAAAACATTTCCAAAGGAATTTTTCATAAGCGAAGTGAGAAATTTCATTCGGACCTGTTACGCTAGGGAATTTTAAGTCTCAGTCTTTTTAAGAAAAAAAAAATTCAAGCAACGATATCTACGAAAACCTAATTTTATTGCAAATTGGAACTTTTGACCGTGTTGTGGAATTTCCAAATCTAAAAAGTGATATCCAAATTATACGATACGTGCAGAAAATTGGCCTAGAGAGTAAGAAAAAAAATTGGTGCGTGCCAAACAAAATTTTGAAAGAGCTGCTGGTCCTAATTTTCTGATCGCGATTCCTGCAGGGCCTATTATAATCGACTCGTCGCGTACATTATATACACACACCCCTTTAACGAGTGATATCACTTTTTAGTAAATAAGGTCTCAAACGCACAAACGATTAGTCTCAAATAATGTCTACAATGTAAATCGCCTAATTGAGTTTTTCGTCATTATTTAATACAAAACAGAGAGAGAGGAAATGATCCAACGAAAACCAGGCAAATTTTTGTTTGTTTTGAGAAAACCAGCAGTGATGAAAATTAATTCAGTTCAGGGCGAGCTCAATTTGACATTGCTTCAGAGAGGACATTTGTTTGATTCTAGCTGATATTAAAATATATATCTAATCCTAATTGGCGCGATTTTTTGCGCTGCCATATTTAAAAAAAAAAAAAGTGGAGAGAGATCTTAGTTTGACATGATTTTGTTTTCTCTATAAAAGTCATGCAGGGAACAGGATTTTTGTTTCATCCGACGAGGAGAGCGCGTGAATTAAAATTAGTTAATTAATTTATTGTACGTACACGACGTGTAAAAAGCGCAAAGTGTTTGTTTGAGAAAAGTGACACACACACACACAATGTGATTGCAAAACTTTACTTAATTAGGTGTTGCGTGTTGATTTAATAAACAGTGTATATTGAGTGACCGCGAGTGCGAATTTCTTGTACGAAAAAACACCACGCTCCGGTGGATGGTTTTTTTGTTGATGCTAAAAGTATGTGATCGCAAAAGGAAGAAACAATAGAATTGATTATTAGCTATACATGAATTTGCAAATCTATTCATCTCGAGAAGTATAAAAAAAAGTAGCAGAAATTGAAAGTGTCGTGTATAATTACGCGGTTGATTGTTTCTTTTTATATTCGTTGTCTATTTTGTCCAACATGAGAAATGCGCCAAAACAAAAACTGCTGGTTGATAAGTGTTTATTGAAGCGGTATTTTACTATTGACTTACTGTTTGAGTGAGTGAAGAAAATCAATGATAAGTGTTTGTTGCGAAAAGTTACGTATTTTCCTGCGTGACAGTTTTTGTGCGGTGAAAAAATTGCTGTTCTTCTTTACGGTTGAATTTTTCGAATGGCGCCGGACGAGAAAATTTGATCCAGCTTGTTTCAATTCAAAGCGCAAGTGGAAAATTTCTAACCCCCTCCGAATTTTCCATCTCGAGCTTTAGCCGCAAAGCTTAAGCTGGATCCGGCTGCCATTTGTGATATAAAAAAAAAAAATGAATAATAAACTTCTGCCCCACGATATATCAGGTCGTTCGATTTTAACCGATATCAATACCAAAATGGACCACAAGCAAATATTTTATGTCAAAAAACGGATCTTAAAATTCATATATTAAATTTACTATACTATAAAGTGTTGATTTTTGCAGTGCATAACAATTTGAAAAGGCTCGTTTTAGTTTTTTTTAAAGTGTAGTCGGGTCGCATCACCATGAAATATGAATTATAACAATTCGAGCATTAAGAGATGCAAAATTCTACTTCTTACAAAATGGTTCAAATCGATGAAATGTTACGGCAGAAATAAAAATTGTTGCTGCCACGTTATTAAGGAATTATAAATCGCTGTTGAATATATAATTGCTGCTTAATTTTGTAAGCGCAGAGATCCGCTAAAATTATATAGCTGTTGGAATGATGAGAGAATTTTCTTCCCAAGGCAATCACTCACACTGTGTACCAACCACAAAACAACTCCAATAACAATAAATACACAAGTTGTATATTAAACTATGCAAAAACAGAATGCATTCGTGTATGATATAAGAAGCATTGATTTCTCATAGCGCGACAAACTTTGGTGCGAGAATGGAATGCGCGAAAGACCCCTCACTAAGTAGGCGATAACGTGTAAGATATAATATTCTGTATTGATTGTTAGCATTCCTATGTATAAATATGCAGATATGCACACTTACAGACGGTACGTGTTGTTGTGGAAATAAAAATTTGAAAAAAATAAAAATACACAAGATGAAGTTAGTTGGCAAAAAAAAGAACTCACGCGGCACACACACAAAAAGATAACTATTAAGAAAATGTGACATTTTTTGCGTGGGCAAATAAAAATAGTTTAAAAGCGCACTTTTAGTACGATGGAAACCCCCGAATCGTTTCATCCTGTCTTTAATAAGAGTGTGTCTTTTTTAAGGAAAACAAATACTTTCCAAAAATGATATATCACCCGAAACTACTACTGTAGAGGCGAGCAAATCGCCATACACAAAATCAAGCCACCCGGTCGAGCAGAGTAGATTTTTCTCGAATTTAGCCTCTAAAAATCTCCTCTGCGAGTGGCCGAGTGGAAAATTTAAATTTGTTACAATAAATAAATGTTTACCCAAGCGAGGAAACAATTAATTATTATTACGGAAAAAAATGGGAAAATTCATTCACTTTATATTGCAGGTGGGTGTTGTAAAAAGATCACAGGTTGGTGTACCAAGGATTCTTATATTAAGCATAGCCATTCAGTTGCTTGGTGAAAATCGATTGCTGTATAAAAATAATTAACTCTATGACAAACACACACACACCGAAAAAGAAAGCGTACTTTGTCAAAATCCACCTGCGAGCAAAACGCAACAGGCTACAAATAACATGATTGTGACATTTTACTTAAGGTATTAAAATAAATATTAATTGCGCTGTTATGTTGGAGCATATACAAGTATATCGATCAAATATAAATATATAAGTAACAAAATAGAACCATACTTAAGGAATAAAGAAAACAAGTGGAATGATGTGTATGTATGAGAATAAAATATTATATAAAATCAAGAAATATTCGGCAGTATTATTTGCTATAATTTTTCACCCGCATTTTTTTTTTTTTTTTTTTTTTGGTAAAAGTTGAAAAATTAAAAACACGATTTATTTATCCTATAAACTTTAAGATTTTATTGTAATTTATAATTAATTGTTTGTACACTTCATTTGATAAGACATCAAACAAAAGCGTTTGGCAAACTCAAGTTGATATTCTGTAACCACTATCACTGATCTATGTACAACAGAGTGTTCATTCAGCCTATCTCTATAATCTGGAGAAAAAAAAATATACTGAGTTTCGTCAGCAGTCATGTCTTTCTGCTGATACATAATTTGTGTTTGATAAAATGGCAATCAGCTTTAAAAAAAAATGAGAGCAAATTATTTATTACTTCGTATAAAACCGGCCAAAATGCGACCGCAGAATTACTGTTTCTTTTTTTATAATCCTAAGAGCACTCCTTAAATTAAAATAGGCTAAAAAATAAGCCTTCCGTCATTCTTTCCTTTTTTCGATAAAATCCAGAGTTGGAAAATAATACTCAGGCGCGAAAATTGTGCTTTTCTGCACCGAATATTTATGCAAAAATCGATCATGGAGTTTGTTCTGTATAAATATGAGTCACATGCACTCTTTTCTCTTCAGTCACTCATCGTCGAGCAGAAATCATTCTCGATGTTGCGTCTGTTTTTCTGATCAGTACTGGGCGTACGGGCCGTAGGCAGCGCCGTGATAATATGGTCCAGGGTAGGCGTATCCATAGGCGTACTGCTGCTGCTTTTGTGGGTAGACTGAAAGGGAAACGCGTTTTTAGAAGATTATCACAATTTTCTGCAAAGGGTCAGATGCATAGAGCACAGAAGAAGCAATTACAAACAATAAAAATAATGAAAAAAGTCTATAGTTGGGCTCTACGCAACCTGGCTGATTTGTAGAAAAAATAATACGGAAGAATTACATGCGCCAGCACACATTTACAAGCAAAATAAAAAGTAGAAAGTAATGTTGAAGAGTTTTAATTTTTCTGAATAATAATAATTATGATGCTTTTAAATTTTTGTGCCAATTTAAAAGCAATCTTTTTGAAATGTTTGTAAACTAGCTGACTGCAAGCGATTTAGAGCATGCTGGAAAAAATAAAGTTTGGTTGAGATTGGCAGCAGTTTTACTGTTAAATTGAATAAATTAAATCAAATTTATACTTAAATTTGATCTGAAATAAATTTTTCACAGTTTCAATTAAATGTAATTGGTTTAAGTTTTAATTTGGGTGTTTTAACCTTAACGTTTAAAGTTGGTTTGGTGAAAATTTGGGCAGTTTTAATATGGCCAATAATTTCTAAGATAAATTTGAAAAGAAAAATCTTTGGATTAATTACTAATTTTCTAAAATTTAGTACATAAATTTGAATTGCCAATCTCAAAAACCTCCTTTATCTTTTCCTGGGACAGAATGAGTCAGGGTGTCTGGTTTTTCGCCACGGCACCCCGACTACTTGTTGAAGGTGTATTTGTGTGCCCCCTCCTTACCAGGCATGAGGTAATGCATATTGGCAGCCTCTTCCCGGTCACGCTCCCCGCGCAAACAGATGGCCGCCCCCGAGAAGAGGATGGCCGAGATCAGAGCCCAGCCCACACCCAGCCAAGCGAGTATAAAGGACCAGTCATAGGAAATGTCAGTGTTGTCTCTCAGGGCCTAGAACACAAACCTGGCATCATGTACTGAATGCTCTTGTCCAGCTCGGCCTGGCGCTCTGAGCGCAGGCAGCACGTCGCCCCAAACAACAGCAACGAGGACATGAACGAGAAACCCACGCTCAGCCACGCCAGCACCATCGACCAGTCGTAGCTGACCCGGGTGTTCTCTTGCAAAATCTAAAAGCCCCAAAGTTAAAAATTTACTAAAATATCGCTGAGCTTTTTCAAATGTTTCTATCACGATTCAGCCTTGGATTAGCTCAAATAAATATTTAAATTGCTGCTGTGTTCTGGAAATAAAGTTTCAAGTTGCATCTAGATTATTAATAATATTCAGTGAAATCTGTGATATTTGTTTTGAAATGAAAACTTTAAATAATTCTTTCCATATTGAGAATATAAAAATTATTATTTCATCGTTTCTCTTTTGTATATTTTAAGGGAACGTATTTGAATATGTATTAAAAAATGGGGTTTTAAGTTATTTCATCCCCCAAACTATTATTATTTAAATAATCTATAATTTTAAAAAGTTCTTCAATAACAATTTTAAAAAAATCAATAAAATAGCTAAAAATTTGATGATTTTCAATCAAATTCTCCAAAGAACTCATCAAATTTCCTTATAATTTTTTCCCTTTCAAAATAATTGAATATTTTCCTGCAATAATTGCAACCAGAAATTCTTATCAAATTTGTTCTTACGTTGCTCCACTGCTGATAGTACTCGTCTCCGACAACCTTTTCCTTCTCATAATATTCCACTCCGTGCCACAATCCCATCGCTCCGGCACTCAACAAACCTGCAATTTTTTACAATTTATTAGTTTTTATTCATCAACTTCAGCTCTACAATAATAGAGTAAAATTAGTTTCCGATTCCCGAGTAGAAAGTTAACATGTGAAAATAGCAATCCAGTTCCCTTCGCACGAAATTATTTTCATTGTATTTTCGGTGTAAAAATAAAATGCTGCAATTTGCCGACAGCCATGTAAAATGAATCCGTCCCAACCTTCGGCTCGATCTATCTTTCTTAGCCAGACCACAATTTACATCGTGCAGAAAGAGTGGCGAGCCGATTTTCCCACACTGACTCATGAGCTTCGTATTTACGGCGAGACAAGTTTGCATGACTGCGCGCGAGTGAGGTAATGCTTCTCAATTTTGCAAGCGTGCACAATACAATAACATGCACAACTATAACAACAACAACAACTTACTTGCGAGCAGCATGAGGATGGCTGTGCTTGTGATGTTGGCCGGGGAGCGTCTCCAGCAGCCGGCCACGCCGGTCCAGAACGCGACGAACACCACAAAGAATGAGACGATGAACAGGGCGATCACTGCACGGCCCATGTCTAATCAAAAAAATAAACTTTAGCAAAAAAAATATATATAATTATTTTTATAATAATTTACTAATTTTATTTTTATTTTCTATTTAAAAAAAAAATTAAAATACAATTTTTTTTTTATTTTTACATTCTTAATTTTTCAGTAAGTTAGTTTATTATTTTGGATTATTATCTTAATCACATTCTACGATTAATATTTATTTTAATTTATTAATAAAAATATAAATATTACATTATGTCATGAACTAAGTCCAATGGATTCGTTTTAATCAATGTTAATTTAGTTTCTGTTGTATCCTAGCTTGAATACAAGGAATTCAATTTTTATACAGACACGGCCCTAATTTCCTAGTAACATACCAGAATTTAGGTAGAAGCTGATAATCAAGGAAAGCTAAATTTATAATGATTGAAAATTTTCTCTAAAAAAAAGGAGATAAAATAAAAAAAAGCTAGTCTTGTTTATACTTTTTGATTAAAAATTTGTTATAAATTATAAATTTCTGAAACGCTCTTTTTATCAGTTCCAATTCTTCTCGAAATGAAAAACGATGCATCAATAAAAAAAATCATCCCTATAAAAATACCACTCAAGGCACTGAAATGATAATATAATTTTGAGGTTTCCTTTCGTCATCCTAATTTGATTCTAACAGTACTTCTAAAAATTTTTGAAACATGAAAACTAACAAAATAAATGTAAAAAATATTCTTGACGCTGTTATGATTCGAACTCACAAAAAGGCGCTGATTCTGTTTGGATACTTTTATTGAGTACTTAGCAACACCACTGCCTCGGCGAGTGCATGTGCAAGACTGACTTTGCTTGCGATCGCCGAGGCTCTCTCGAGCAGGCAGGTGAAAGGTAATTATAATAATAGGAACACTAAATGAACAACAAGTAATAGAGAGGGCTTTGGTATTTTGATAAACAGAGGTACTTTCAAATGGCTCTAGGCCTATTTGCATATAGATTGGGGAAACCTGGCCGGATCGGTAATTAATAGTAAATAGGCTTGGTCTCTTTATTGATAAAGAAATCAATAAATATAGAATAATGCAGTTAGTGCAATAAGAGATAATATAATAAAGGTAACGGAACCGGTCCCGATATAACACCCCACGCGCAAGATGAAAGTCTGTCCTCAGACTTTCGAAGATGGAATTCAGCTCTACTAAATATGATTTCCGTTAATTATATTCTTTCTATTATTGCACAAACGATTACAATCAATATAATTTTCAAAGGAAAAATTAATATTCTTCTTGCTTATTGTGTCTCTATTTGTGTGTTCTTTTTGGTTATGTACTTGTTGCTAGTGTTGTAGAAGAAATCCAATATTAGTACAATTAAAATGAACAATATTATATAAAGAAACAATACATATACTTTTTTTTTAGTTTAGGTTAGGTAGCGGTAGGTGTAGCATCAGCGGTCACTTAGGAAATTAAATTTTAATTAAGAAATTAAACCAGATAAATTTTGAGTCATGCAATTTAGGAATAACGAAAGGGATAGGTCATTTTTAAGTCAAAACATTGTAAGTTTGCAGTTAATTCTTGATGGTATATGGTTACAGTAGGTTTTAATTAAGAATCGGAATTTTTAGTATTCTAAAGCTGAAATAGGAATTTTTTTTTTAAAATTCAGAAAAATTTCTAGGTCGGATTATAAAATAGAAAAAACAAGAGGTAATAACTAATAATGTCTAAAAAGGGTTTAAATAGTGAACAAAATAGCGAACGAATATCAAGATAAAAAAAAAACTTGAAAGGTATAACGCATATCGAGTAAAATTAATTACATCCCAAAACCAATGTTTAAATTCTTTAAAACAATCAATAATATCATTTCATTCAGAGTGCATATAAAAAGGAAAAATTTAAGAATATAAAACTGAGTAAAGAGAAGATTTTAAGAGTGGATTGTTTTTGGAATTGAAATAGAATATTCATTCTTGGTATTGGTACAGGCTGGGAATAGGATACAGGAGAATGGCAAGAATACGTAAATAAATGCGGGTGGTTGTTTGAAGTGCGCACTACATATAATTTTCACAAGCTTTGCAAGTATCGCACCGTAATTTAGAATCGGCGAATTGGTTTTTTGGTAAAAAAAAAAGGCACACGCAACATAAATTCTGCTTAACGAGCACCGAACACTCGACTTTTTCACCACTATTGTTATTATGCATAAGTTTGTTTGATAACTTAAAACTCAGTCGGATTTCGAGTTGACTTGATATGACTTGACGCAGAGAGAAGTATTTTCGGTTTTCGGTCAGGGGGTGGAGGTATGCAAATTTCACTTTCTCTTTTCATTTTTACCACAGTTCACAGTCAGCCACTGATTGTTATTTAATTCGCCATCGCGGAGGCCGGCTAGATGGATCTTTGAATTGTCGGCGTATGCGTTTTGCAAGGTCACTTTCGGAAACACTCATTTCATTGTCTTTACCAGTTAATAGTTTCCCTAGCTTTCTACCAGGAGAATAGTAATATTTGTCAATCAATGTATCAAAAATTTGACTTAACACATTCTCATAGCCTCTCTCGTTTTCACATGCTAACATATTTGTATCGGCAAAAGAAATAAAATCAAAGCTTTTAGATTTCTCACTTACTACATCAAGAACAAATGCAGGTATTTTGTTAAGCTCTGCAGACTTTTGTTTGTCAATTCGGGAATGTTCATATAATTTGATTTCGTCACTCACTTCGGGATTTTCGCTCACTGGTGAGCCAGGTTCGTCGAACACCTCAGATTTGTTGGACGCATCAGGTGACACTCTGGAAGAAACAGGTTCATCGGATTGAAGAAACTCGTTGAAGACATTGGCTTTGTCAAATATCACGGGCTCTTTGATCTGCACAGAATCTTTGAATGCCACAAACTGGTCGCCGTTTGCTGGTTTTTGCAGCATTTCAGTTGTCCCTTCCGGAACATCTTGCAGCACAACAGCTGCACTTTTGCTACACAGAAGTACACTAGAGTCGTTGATCGTCTTTCTTGTATTAAGCTCCTCTAGCGCCTCAGGCTTCTCTCGTTCGGCAGGCTTGTCTCGAAACTTTGGAATTTCTTTCGCCACGAGCTGCGTTACAGTCTCTCCTTTCTCTTCCAGCTCGTTGCGAGCCTCAGACTCTTCTTTTGACTTTATCTCAGCACAAACCTCTGGCTCTTTTTGCACCTCTAGTTTGTACAGAACCTCTGGCTCTCGCTGCACCTCTTCAGGCTCTTGCTCGTATTTAGAAAGGTGACACTTAACATTTTTCTTGCGTACTTTTTTCTTTCTGCTTGCCTTTTTCCTTTTCCATACCCTTTTCTTTATGCTGACTACCTCTTCACACACAGCGGCCTCATCCTTTTCCCTTTTCTCATACTTGGCAGGCTTCAAGTGTTCATCAGGCTTCTGTACCATTGTAGGCGCAGCTTCTCGAGCCGCAGCGGCAGCAGCGTCACGAGTCGCAGCAGCTTCACGCGCCTCAGCTTCCTTTCGCGCAGCCGCTTGACGCACCTCAGCTTCCTCTCGCGCAGCCGCCTCTCGCGCAGCTGCCTTGTGTTCAGCAGCCTCTCGCGCAGCAGCGTTTCGCCTATCATAAATCTCCCGTAGGACTGCCATGGACTCAGCTTCTATTCGCTCAGCTGCCGCTCGGGCAGCAGCAGCCTCTTTCGCAGCCGCCTGTCGCGCAGCAGCCTTTCGCGCAGCCTCCTCTCGTGCAGCCTCCTTTCGCGCTGCCTCCTCTCGCGCAGCCGCCTCTCGTGCAGCTGCTTCAGCAGCCTCTCGCGCAGCAGCGTGTCGCCTATCATAAATCTCCCGTAGGACTGCCATGGACTCTGCTTCTATTCGCTCAGCTGCCTCTCGAGCAGCAGCAACTTGCGCAGCAGCCTCTTTCGCAGCCGTCTGTCGCGCAGCAGCCTTTCGCGCAGCCACTTCTTGCGCAGCAGCCTCTCTCGCAGCCGCCTCTCGCGCAGCCGCCTCTCGTACAGCTGCCTCTCGTGCAGCAGCCCTTCGAGTAGCAGCCTCTTGCGCAGCAGCTTTTCGCGCAGCAGCCTCTCGTGCTGCAGCCTCTCGTTCAGAAGTCGTCTGCGTCTCCTTGCGCGCTGCTCTGCGAGCTCTCTTTGCAGCTCTGTTCTGTCTCGCAGTTTCTATTCGTGCAGCCTTTGTTGCTTCTCGGTCTTGATTTGCACTCTGGGAGAGAGTGTAATTATCTTCAGGATCTTCTCTCTCTGTGGTCTCGAAATGAAGAATAACTCTTCCCTCTCGCTCTTCAACGTAGAAGGTCAGTTCCTTTCCTTCGAGAGCTGCCTGCACCGCTCGCATCCGGATCGCTGCCTGCACCGCTCGCCTCCGGATCGCTACGGACAAAGTAGCGTGTTCCTCGGTTTCAAAATGCATTATCTTCGAAACTATATCAAGCTCATCAGCTTCATCGTAAAATTCTGTTACGTCCAGTTCCTCAGATTTATGGCGCGCTTTGGCTCTAAGGAGCGCCTGCAGCTTTTTGCGCGCCTTTTCTTCCTTAGATATATTTGTCTCAAAATTCATATTGTCAATGTTTGCTTACGGAACGAGTATGGAGAAAACGAACAGCATGTAGCACCGGTACCTTTGACCTCGATCTTCAGGCGACTCTTGCTAACAAACTTGTTCGGCAGATGAGATGATGAACATCCTTCAGTTGCGATTGGGAATTGATGTGGCCGAGGATCTCGGTCTTCTAGTTGCACGACCCAAACTCCTTCAGCACGGAGTTCACGCTTCAACACGATCTATAACTCAGTTCGTGGAAACTAACTTGCACACGCAGGTGTTGCACGGAGATAGCCCTCGAGCGTTGTCTCCACTTTGCACACTTCCTCTTGTGTACCAAAAGTACTCCAAACAACTCAGGTTACCTTCGCTGAGTTACAGGCACAATCTGTGGTTCGAGACGATCTTTAGGATTCTCTTCAGGGTTAGCTCTCGAGCGTTGACACCCTAGAATCCCACCGCTGCCACCAAAAAGTCTGTTATGATTCGAACTCACAAAAAGGCGCTGATTCTGTTTGGATACTTTTATTGAGTACTTAGCAACACCACTGCCTCGGCGAGTGCATGTGCAAGACTGACTTTGCTTGCGATCGCCGAGGCTCTCTCGAGCAGGCAGGTGAAAGGTAATTATAATAATAGGAACACTAAATGAACAACAAGTAATAGAGAGGGCTTTGGTATTTTGATAAACAGAGGTACTTTCAAATGGCTCTAGGCCTATTTGCATATAGATTGGGGAAACCTGGCCGGATCGGTAATTAATAGTAAATAGGCTTGGTCTCTTTATTGATAAAGAAATCAATAAATATAGAATAATGCAGTTAGTGCAATAAGAGATAATATAATAAAGGTAACGGAACCGGTCCCGATATAACAACGCCAATAGAAATCAAACTTCATCAAGCATCTCTTGTGCGATTTTTTTCCGCCGTGTACAAAAGTAGAAAAGAAGAATAATTCATTAGCGACGAAATGATTGCGCGCGTTGATGTGGCAGAAAGCGCGGCCAGCATTCAGATTAGTGTCGTTGACTTTGCGCGAGCCGCGGGCTATAACACTACAACGCACTCGATGGCGAGCATCACGCAGAGCAGTCGAAGGAAAAGAAAGAAAAGCGGCGGCGGCCACTTACGTAGGCGAGTCATAGCCTCCTCAGAGTAGTTCTTGGTCACGTTGTCGGTGTCGGGAATGAAGTAGTCGACGTTCATGCAGTGCGTCTCCACGGGGCTCAGGTACGTCTCGACTGAAACAAACAAATCAAAGGTCAAAACCACGTGCTGTACGAAAAGTGGGACGATTGATGCAAAATACCAAAATAAATTTGTTTAACATACTTTTAGTAAAGCCTGACAAAAAAGGAACTTAAAATAATAAATTTCAGAATAATGACGTAAAGAAATGAAAATATTAAATATTAATCAGGGTTGTCTTTTTTCTGATTGCTTATTTATAAAGAAAATTTCATTTCGCCTGGTTGATTTTAAATATAAAATTTATTAACAATTTAGTATTGTATGCATATTTATATACTTTATTTGTAAAATTTCTTAGTTTAAAATTTAATGAAATATTTAACACTTTCTTAACTTAGTTGACATAAATGAATTTAATAACACTAATTCTTCTTCTTTCGACAGGGAGGTTCATCGCAGCAGTTTTAATTTTCACAAAATTCACCTCGACTGTTAAATCTCAATTTAATTTTTAACGATTTCATTAATGAAGCGCCTTCCTTCTCATTGTTTCCTGCGTCCTTTGGTGCTTTTTAATGCTCGACCGATTCGCTGCATTGTTTTTGTGGTGTGTCGTGTGGTGACGAATTATGAATTCCGTCGGCGACACTGCAGCACAACCCAATCGGCCGCCAGGCACGACAAACAATGGCCGTAAAATAATATGGAAACCTTCGAAGAACGTCCACGCATTTCCTATTAAATCCCCTTCTCGATTAGGCAACGCCAGCGGCCGGCTCTCGGAATAAAAGGCCTGCGACCAAAATGCAGAGGCGGAGAGACTTCAATGCCTGTGCATTGAAATATGAAAGAGAATTGAGCGGCGGATGTTTGCGAGGACAAAAAGTGCAAGGCGTCGATAATATCTCTTTTGGTTTCGCAAAATTGATTCAGCCAGGAGATTTTTATAATTTCTAAGGTGCCTCTCTCGCTTGAAATCGAAAAGCGAATTCTCTCTTGTGGTTTTTTGTGTGTACCTTTTAGGGGCGTTGATTCTCCTAAAAAATGCCGCAGGCGCTATGGGAAATATTCTCACACGACGTGGACGAGAACAAAAGGAATTATGCTTGGAATACTCAATTCGGGCGCGGGTTTCAAAATTAATTCTTGCAGCTGCGAGAGTGACGGCCGATTATCTCTCACGTTAATTTAGGAGTTTTGTCTACATTTCTCATAAAAGTGAAAAGAATTTTTGGAATTTTTTTAACATTCATGACCCGAGAGAAAAATAAGCAAGAGAAAAAGTAGCAGAGAGTGAAAAGCTCATATTTATTAGATGAATTTAGATTTTGTCTGGGGACCAAGATTTCTACTTAATTTGTTAAAAAAAAATTAGGGTAAAAATTATATCTAATTGCAACTGCAGTACCAATTTTTCTATATTTTAAAACTTTAAATAAAATATCAATCGCAAATTGCACAGGATAAAGAATCTTAAAACAAAAAACGAAATCAAACGAAATAATTTAATAATTTAATTTGAAGCTGGCAAAATGAACTTATTGTTAGAGTCAATCAACTTAAAAAACAAATAGCAGAATTTTAAATTATTATTAATTTTATTTAACTTCATTAAATTACTCCAGGTTTTGAAAATTATTTTAAACATGTGAAGCATATTTTTAATAACATTTAAATAAATAATTATCCCTTGTCAAATTTAGATTTCATTAGTAATAGGTCTTAAATGTCAGAGTTCTAAAAGAATGAAAATAATGTAATTTTATAATTTTGAACCGTTAAATTAAAACTTCTCACTTCACAATTTTTGCCTCAACCTGCAGCTTTAGTTTCATCTGATAAACTTCGCAAGTTTTCTTCCTTGTCACTACATTGCGTCCTGGTGAATTTTTATCATTTTATTTTCATACACATCAGGGCTCATTCACCTGCTTTTCGCGAGTTGAAAGCTTGAGTGACACTATCGCCCACATAGCACCTGATTTCGATTTCACGCCAAGCTTTATAAAGTCGCGAGCGCACAATGAATTAATGCATTTTGCACGCTTCTCTCTTATCTAATTTTAAGCCTCGTCACAAGATCGCGACCGTTTTTTGGCGCCGCGGAATTAGAAACTCCCTCTCGCGGTAGCAATGAACTTTCGTTATATTCTTTTGTGTTAATTTTTGAAGACGTGAGACTGGGAAAAAAAGTGCGAATTATAACAGAATGAGAATCTTTTCTCGTTCGTCGCGGAGTGGACCAGAAAAAAGTGAGCTTTACATGAATTTTATATAAGATTTCCATGCTTTCTTTTTAAACTGAATCAGAAGAGAGAAAAATCTCCCGGCGTGCGTGCCCGTGAAAAAGGACGATAAATATAAAAAGAGAAAGAAAGCATTGCCTTTTCTCGGACGCACAGATGTTGCTCCTCTTTTCTACAAACGAGATGCATCTCCAATTTCAAATGCTTTCTATTTTCACGAATCGTCCGTTCGTCTGTCCAGCCGGCGCTGCGCCAACGAGTGAGTGGCTTTAATTTTACTTTTATTCGATACACATGCATCAACGAGGAGTGTATTTAATATGCTGCATGCAAAAAAGTAGCTTTCACCCTGCGGTATAACTAACGAGATCCACCACACGAGCCCGCCAAACGTGACGTCACCAACTTTGTTTGCATTGCTAATTAATGCAATAAAATTAGTCGAGAGCTGGACGAGAGAGGTTTATTAATGTTTACCGCAAAAGTGATGGGCCAACGTGCCGAGAATTAATGGAAATGGTTGAGAAACGCACCGTCTCCATTAGGGCGAATTTTTTCTTAATTTGGTTTCTCAAGAGGATACTCGCTAAAATTTATTATTTTTTTGAATTTAATAATCATAATAACTCCCAAATCCTCCTGCTATAGATTGCTCAAGCACTAATTCTTTCTTTAGAATTAATTATGTTACAGTCTACATACAAAATGATAAAACCGTCATGAAAAAGATTATGGGTTGAAAGTAGCGAATGAAATTAATGTTCTTATCCGCCTCCGCCAAGCCGCAAAGTGCGAACAGGTCTATTGCAGATAATTTACGGAAGGTTGTTTCGTGTGCAGAGCAACAATTATCACTTTCTATCATCGCAGCATAACGCTTGTTGAACATTTGAGCAATTTATATACCCCTGTAAAAACGTCCACCTGCTGATTAAATATAACATGGTGGGTTGTGATGAAATTTTATGAATTGAGAGACTTTTGCAAAGATGCTACTTTTTGTTGGAAAGGTTTGCAACAAAAAGCAATGTAAAGAAAATAAAATAGTATTTACATCATTATTCTTGTCCTTTTAAAAATTTTACTTTTTTAAATTAAATACATATTTTTTATTAATTAAATGATTATGATATAAAAAAAGCTTTTTAATCATTTAAAATTATTTTAGATTTCTTGTCTTTCATTCAATTTTAAAACATTTGCAATAAAATTTATATGAAATGAAAAACAAAAAATTTAAATTTTCAAAAGGAACAGAACAAGAACATGTAAATTTATAGAAATAAAATTTAACTTTTGGAAATAACATTCCTAGTCTCTATAATATCTTAATGTATAGCTTTACTTATCTACAAAAATCTAATTTATTAATTACGCAAAAAAATAAATTACATAACAAAAGAAAATACATTAAAATGACCTGGAACGTTGCTGCTAAATTAAAATTAAAAGCCACTTACTGAATAATAAATGCATTTGTGAGCAACATTCTTCACAATTTAGTGCATCTCTCGCACTAGGTTTTGTTGCATAAGAAAGAGCTACCGTGAACCACCAAAGGATCATTCGAGCGTATGAAGTGTACAGCCGGCACAAAGCATTAATTTGTTAATTGCGCACCGCGAGTGTCGACGGCGGCCGGCGATGGACGCGGCGTGCTTCTCTTTTCGGTGCTTATCAGACGGTGAAGTGCAATAAACTGGAGAGCAGCTCGCGATTCCGTATTTTTTTTACATTGTGTGCGTAAATATGGTGCAGCAGTGTGCGGTTTTCTTGCAACAACTGTGTTTTTATTCATTTATTCAGCTCCTAATTGACACACACCTCGCAGCGGAGCAACTTAATTATTTATTTTAATCTCATTCAAGATCCTCGCACCGCCTTTCACGCACTTTGGCGCAATTTCTCTATAATAATTGCCATAAGCATGAGAGAAATTATGTAAAATTTATGGAAATTCGGAAATTAATTTCTGCTCTGAAGTGAAGTGAAGCAATTAATTGGTCTGATTGCATTTAAATATTCAGGTGAGGGACGATTTCTGAATAATTCGTTGAAAAGAATAAAGAATTTAAATAAGATGAATGGTGCATGTGATATTTTAAGAGAGTCCGATAAGGTTTTGAATACCAAAACCAGCTTGTAAGGATCTATCCATCCAAACTAAGAATATTAAAGGGCAAAAATAGATGGGATTATTAATTCCTCAAGTTTCAAATGAAATCCTAATGAATGAATGACTTAAACATTGAAAATTATTATTATTAGATCATTATTTTTCTTTCAGAAAAACGTATTTATGTATTATTTTGTCAAATCTTTACAGAAATGTTTTTACCAGATACAGTAAGAAACTGCTGATGAGCAATAAAAATCTCAATATGAGGAATACCGTTTTTCGCTCAGCACGCGCTATCTAATACACACACACATTTGCTTTTTTTACACCTCCTTTTCCACTTGAGCAGCAAAAAAGTTTAGAAGGATTGCATTTTGCAAGTACAATCAACGTTCTCATCAAGGCACGAAACGTATGAAATGAAAACAAACAAAGCCGAAAGCATTTGTTATTTCACCTTCGGGTCTATATTATGCACGCCATTCTTTTTTAATTCATTTTTTTAATGTCAATACCACGGCAATGCATTTCAAAAGCACGCCTAGGAAAGGGCAAAATAATAAACAAAAAGGAAGTTGCTAATTTTACGACGTCAACGTGGCCCCTAATAATAATAAAAAAAAACTCTTCTTGTTAATTGTTGAGGAGCTTGAATGTCATACTTGGTGAACAATTCCTTTGCAAG